TTACCCTAAGAAGGTGTATTATCGCTTATCTGGAATTCAAATTAGATGGGTGTCCTGTATTCAATCTGGCAATTGTTTAATCAAATTGGGGGTCAAGTGCCCCTCTCCGTCTCTCCGCTGATTTCCTGTGATTGAACAGGCTACAGCTGCTGAAGAAACAAGCCCACAGAGGGTTTGTGTTTTGGAAAGACCCACCTGCTGCCCCGTGCTCACTTGGCAGCCTTCGCTTGATCTCGGCGAGATGGACTTGGCTTGGGTTCATATTGATTCTCTTGCTGGCGCTCTGCTTTTCTCGCTTTGTGGTCTGCTTGTCTTTCTCTCTCTCCTGCTTTCTTTGATGCCACCTCTCTCATGGGAGCTCTGAAAGGAAGACATCTGAGAAGCGGCGGGGCTGATCCAGAAAGGCCTGTCCTGGCAGGGAGGGCAGAGTCCACGAGACAGGTGACCGAGGGCGCCTGCAGGGAGAGTGGCACCTGGCCCAGCGATGGTGCAGAGATCCCAGCTGGCTCGCTGTGCACGGTGCGGAGAGACGGAGAGGGGCACTTGACCCCCAATTTGATTAAACATTGCCTTGTGTCTGCACCTACCAGGGCTGCTATGTGTTGTGGTTGGAGTCAGGTGTATCATGGCTTGAGGGAAATTGACACCATGTGCTCTCAGAGTGCAGTGTATCTTGCGGGGAGGAGAGGACTTGAGCAATCAAAGGCCTCCTGGAGACTTGGATGGGACATCCTCCTAAATGGCCACATTTGCCACTCTTGCCTGCCAGAGCTGCCTGCCCCTCCACCCGCTTCCTCTCGCAGTCTGCTGGTCTTGGGCCTGCTCCCCCTCCCTGTGCTCTGGATAGAGCTGTGGCCTGCCAGGAAGGAAGTAGGCCATGGCCTCAAGGGAGCAAGGCAGCCCTTTCGTATTGGTCACCCCGGGGCCCAGTGCACAGTGCCTGGCTTCGGGGGCCTGCCTCCTCCTCCTGCGTCCTCAGCCTGGCAGGGAAAGTGACGTGGGGGCAGGAGGGCATTGCTCACCTGTTGTCCAACGGGCGCCTGGTGCCTGGAGGCCAGGGAGGGGTGAGGGAGCCATCTCCTTGTTCACACTGTTGGCATGCGACCCACATCCACCGTGTCGGGTAACAGGTGTCTTTTTCTTGTATCAGACGTGAGGGAAGCTGCTCCCGCTGGGTCCTTGCCCATGGCAGGCACCGTGCTGGGACGAGGTGCCCGGGTGGAGGGGAGATAAGGGTGATTGATTCCTCTCCTCTGTGCCCACGTCTCTCAGGCCCCTGTGAGGGAGGGGGGTTAGCGTGGCTCACCCATTGGGTAATGGGACGCTGAGCACAGGCTGCGTCATGGGCAGAGCATGGCCTGGTGACAGACCTTCTCCTCTGCAGCAGCGGGACTGCCACCCCTCCTCACTGAGAGGCTGACTGGGAGGCTCCCTTACCTGCAGGGGGCCCTCGGGTCTGCTTAGCGGGCAGCTGCTCCCACAGGACCCTGTTCCCATTCGCTGGGAATTCCTTTCTGACATTGCAGGGACAGGCGTGCCATTCCCACCCTCGGTCCCTCGGTCTTGTGGCAGGGGCTCAGCACGTGTTCGGAGAAAGGATGGGTAGATATCTACCACCGCACCCAACCCAAGGGGTTTGGATGAAGAAATCAGTAGGGTCTCTCTCTTGGGAATGTGGGTTCCAGTTGGAGAGTCCAACAGGGCAACAACAGTAGATGCCTATACAATTGAGTATTTGCTTGCTTGGTCCAGATGTTGTCTGCAGCTGGAATACAGAGGTGGAGGCAGTCAGAAAGGACTTCAGAGGTCAGGACAGCCGGGTGGCACTGGGGAAGAAGCAGGAGGGAGCCAGGCCCTACCTGTGATCAAGTGGCATTGGACAGACTCTGTGTTTTGGCTAAGAGATGGCATTTGGGTGCCTTCTGGGTGGGAAGGAGATGGGGCCTCTGGCTCTGCTTGTGATCCCTGCAGAGCTGGGGTCCACCCGATGCTGCTCGCCTGCAGGCCTCCTCAGTGCTGGGACCTCACCATGTCCCCCCACTGGAGGAGACACTTGGCCAAAGCTAACAACATGGCGTTGGAAGGTGCTGTATGAGTTTCCTGTGGCTGCTGTAACGAAGTGCCACACCTGGGTGGCCTAAGACATAGTTATTCTCCAACAGTTCTGGAGGTGTCTTCAGGGCCAGGCCCCCCTAAAGGCTTCTGGGAGACTCTGTCCCGTGCCTTTCTCTTGCATTCAATGTTGCCAGCACCCTGGTGTCCTGAGCTCGTGGGCGCATCCCGGCAGCCTCTACCTCCATCTGCATGTGCTGCACGACTGTGTCTCTCCTCCTCCTCCTCCTCCTCCTCCTCCTCCTCCTCCTCTTCTTCTTCTTTTTTAAATGTATCTTATTGATTTTTCACAGAGAGGAAGGGAGAGGGAGAGAGAATCAGAAACATTGATGAGAGAGAAACATCAATCAGCTGCCTCCTGCACACACCTCTACTGGGGATGTTCCCGCAACCAAGGTACATGCCCTTGACCGGAATAGAACCTGGGATCCTTCAGTCCAAAGGCCAACCCTCTATCCACTGAGCAAAACTGGTCAGGACTCTTCTCCTCTTCTAATGAGGACATCAGTCATTGGATGGAGGGCCCATGTACTTCATTATTACCTCATCTTGGTTATATCTGTAAAGAACTTCCTTCCAAACAGGGTCACATTCACAGGTACCAGGGGTTTGGGTGACACAATTCAACCCACAGCCGATGCTTGGAGGGTGCGTTTGCCTCCAGATCCCCTGAACCTTTTAAAGTCCCTGTCCCCTCTCAGGTCTCTCAAGGTCTGGGGTGTGGGCAGAGGCCACCCCTCTCACCTCTCATAGCCCCACCTCATGTGCTGGGTTGTGGGGTGGACAGCCGCTGGTCTTCTATGTGATATGAAGTCTTATTCTATGGGGGCTGGAGGCTGGGTTGAAAAGCTGCTTTTCCCTCTTGGGGCCTGGGTGGTGAGGAGCTAGAGGGCGTATTTATGGGCAGGAAGAAGGTGGAGAGAACCTCGGGTCCCATTCTTTCCCTGGGAAAGACAGAATATGTTTCCAGCTCTGCAGAACACTGGCTCCCTGAGCAGCTCGGGACCCTGGGCTTCGCCGAGGCTCGGCTTCCTCCTCTGTAAACGCCTACAACTGCATGCGAGATCTCAGGTTCTCTGTGAGGGCTCCGTGATAAAGGGAGGCCGTGAGCATCTTTTCTGAGATCGTTGTGTATTGTGGTAAATTATACGTAACCTAGAAGTCACCCTTGCGTCCATTTCTCAGGGCCCAGTGTGTGGCACAAAGTGTGTTCACATGGTTGTGCAACCATCACCGCCATTCATTCCTAGAGTCTTTTCATTTTCTCAAACTCTAGAAATGGCTTTTACACCAGCAACTAAGAGCATGTTTTATTCATTTGCTAAACAAGGAAACTCAGTTCCTGGGAAGCAAAGACTCACCCCAAGTTCCTGTGATCAAGGGGTACAGCTGATGTGAGAACCCCGGGCCCCACTTCCCACTTGCTCTCGCTGGCTGCTTCTGCAGGCTGCAAGGTGAGGGCGGAGCTTCCCTCTCCCAGCCAGGGGCCCCATGCAAACCTGAACTTGTCCTGTGGTGGGACCCACACAGCCTCTGTGACGGTGGTGCTCTCAGGCTATCCTGGCCTGTCTGTCTCTCTGTCTTTGTCCTCAAATGGGATAGAGTCTGGGGAGAGCCTAGGGTGAGCTTCGGGATGACTTTATGAGGGACCTCGCCATGTGGAAAGAGCTGGGATAGGGAGTCAAGGGCTGGGTTCTGGTCCTTCTGTGGTGTTCCCACTGAGCACGTATCTGTTGAGGTCCTATTGTGTGCCATCAATGGGATCATAACAGTGAACAAGACCTGTTACTCTTTTTAAAAAAATATTTTATTGATTTTTTTACAAAGAAGAAGGGAGAGAGATAGAGACTTAGAAACATCATTGAGAGCAAAACATCAATCAACTGCCTCCTGCACACCTCCCACTGGGGATGTGCCCACAACCAAGGTACATGCCCTTGACTGGAGTCGAATCTGGGACCTTTCAGTCCACAGGGCCAACACTCTATCCACTGAGCCAAACTGGTTAGGGCAAGACCTATTACTCTCGCTTGCAGCTGCTGTGAGACAAATGATATGCATTGACCACGAGGCAAAGGGCACTGGCCTCTAGGAGGCAGTGACAGGGAGGGGATGGGAGGGGGGATGGGAGGGAAGGTGGGTTAAGCCAGGCTGATATGTCAGGGTGCTGAGCTAGAAGGAAGGAGCAGGACTCTCTCTGGTGCCTTGGGTTCTGTGGGACCCTCCACACTGGGGGACAGACCCGGCCAGACAGCGCCTGCTTCCTGGAGGCTCAGAGCTGAGGGGAGCACAGGGCCGTGTGCACAGTTGAGAAGCGGAGTCACCGGTGCCGACAGAGAGGAATGGGTGATGGCAGGGGAAGAGGCTGATTCTACTAGGTGGGATCTGGAAGCTGGTGGCTTGGGGCCAGGAGGCCATGCTCTGGTTTGGTGAAGAAGAGATGGGTATCTCACCCTGGGGGCACTCTTGTTCCTCCCTGGGGCAACTCCTTGGACCTCGCCACCTCCTGCGAGGTAGCTAGGGCAGGGTTCACGTGTCCATTTTGTAGGTGGAAGAGGGATGTGTGGAAGGGGACTTGACGGGTCACCAGGAGTGCGGTCAAGCAGGAGATGGTACCTGCTTTTCTGCCTTGTCCCAGGCATTTTTGGTTCCCTGTTGCTCCGACGGAACCATCCATCCGGAGTCGATGAACCTCAACTGTGTGGCCTCCAGGAACCCCGTCTGGGAGCTCTCAGCTGAGAGCCCTTGGTGGCCCCATGTTTCTCCTCTCCCTCTCCCTGGCTCCTTCCAGTCCAGGAAGCTGGGAGGAACCCCTGTGCCGCAGAGGAGGCGGGAGGGAAGGCAGCCACACTAATTTGTTCTCTCCATGCATCTTCTCCCAACACCAGGTCCCGGCTGGCGGACTTCCACGCCAATTGTCACGCCTCCTACCAGACACTCACCAGCTGTCCAGCTGACAATTACCAGGCGTGTCTGGGCTCCTATGCGGGCATGATTGGTAAGCCACCCATTGCTCGGGCTCATGGTGATGCCCAGCTGCCCAGGGGCCAGGGACCAGCGGCCAGGCCCAGTTCCAGCCATTGGGTGGACACCTGAGCTCGCCTTTCTTGGTGGTGGTTTCGGATAGAGCTGCGGTGGGAGACCAGAGACCAGAGGCAGGATAGCTGTTTCATGGGGGAGGAGGGCCCGAGGAACCTACAAGGATTTTGAAATAAGAGGAAAAAGGAACATTGATTGCAGGGTCTGATATCCCAGGTGCCGTGTTGAGCAGTTGATTGTCTAATTCTCCTAACAGCACTTTCTAGGGAGGTGCTGGGGAGTGGAGATGCTGCAGATGGGGAAACCAAGGCTTAGGGAAATGGAATAACATGCACAGGTTCATCTGCTAGTAAATGTTGGCACTGGAACGTAAGCCCAGGATATGAGCCCAGTCACATGAATTCCAGAATATACTCTTATTGAGGCCAGGAGAAAACACAGGCCACACTCTGGAGATGGGAGTGGGGGCGGGGGAGGGGGAGTATTCCCACGCCCTGTGCCCCCTGATGACCTCATGGTTCCCTGGAATAGTAACACTCAGAGTTTGGACTGTGAGTTGGGACGTATGTGTGTTTGGGGGCAGGTGGGAAGGACGACGGCTTCCAAGCCTCTTATCTTGGGGTCTGAGGTTTGGAGGTCCAAAGAGGGGGGTCTCACCGCTCCCCTCCTTTGCTTCCCTTTCTCCCTGTCCAGGGTTTGACATGACGCCCAACTATGTGGACTCCAGCCCCACTGGCATCGTGGTATCCCCCTGGTGCAGCTGTCGGGGGAGTGGGAACCTGGAGGAGGAGTGTGAGAAGTTCCTCAGAGACTTCACCGAGAACCCCTGCCTTCGTAAGTCCTGCAGCTCCCCCCCAAACTGTCCCCTCCCTAGCAATCCCTCCCATCCTCATTCCAAAGGGTCTCTGAGGCTATCTGACCCATGTCCTTCCTCCTCCATTGGGACAGCCAGTGACCTGTGGGGCTGCTCTACCAGGGTGTCACCTGCAGAGGCCCTCGGCTGTCTTGTCACTTCTCCCTTTGGGATCAATTTTTAAGAATCCATTGGAATCTGTGACTTTTTTTTTTTTTCTTCAAGTTATCAAACTCCTAATCCAAAGACTGGAGAGCAAGGTGAACCACAAGCTCTGTCTGCCTCCATTTATTCAGACTGACACCTCTGCTACCTACACCCCCTGGAGGGTCCCTCCCCCTCTCTTCCCTCACTCTTCCCTCTGTCCATTTGTCCATGCTGCCTTTCTGTATGGCCCTGGGAACTTAGATAAACAAGTTGTAGTGCCTGTCATGGGCAGCTTGTAGCTTGACGGAGGTCCGTGTGGTCACACTTCGGGGGAACATGCTGGGGAAAGGCCTGCACAGAGCTCTCCCCGAGCCCAGGGTGGGATGCCCAGCTCAGCCTACAGTAAGGAGCCCATGGAGGTTCCTCAGAGGTGACCCCCTGAGGGACAGGGCCATTGGTCAGCTGAAGCTGCAGGAAGGGCATGTCTGTCCATCTGGGCAGAGTGAGTTGTGAGAACCACAGACCACGGAGCCTTACTACAGAGCATGGATGGGGTCACCTGGAGTTATCTGGGCAGGAGGGAGTCCCCCACCCAAAGGGGATCCCCACTGGTGGTGTGCCTCATCCATTTGCAGCAAGGGTTCAGGATCTGAAGAAGGGGCCGCGCATAAATGAAAACACTAGACAGGAAATATGAATTTAGAAGGCGCAGGGGCCAGGTGGAAACTTCCCTCTAGTAAAGAAGCTCTCTGAAGCCCTGGGCCTGTTAGCTTTTATTCAATTCTAGATACACATCTTTGCCCTTAGTTGAGCACAGAAAACCGGTAGCAGACTGTCTCAAAGGTCAGTAAAAAGATTAGTAAAGATTTACTTTGAGACTCTTAGGTCAGGAAATTACTTTGAGCCACTATCTCAACAGAACAATTGATGCATAGCTTTAGCCCTTGCTACAGCTCAAGGTTCATCAGCCTTCTGAGTTCCTTGTTGCACTTTCATGATAGTGTTTGATAATGGACGGCTTCCCGCAGTTGGGGTGGTGGTGTGGATCACTGCAGGGGTAGCACCTGGTTCCAGGTCATATGTGAATTTCAGAAGTTCACTCTCTGGGCCAGTGTGGAGGGGTGAGATAGGGATGTAGTTCTGACTGTGACCCACAGAGGGTCCACTCAGAGGGAGAGGACAGTGATGGCTGAGGTCCTGAAACAGGGTCATAGAGGATGGAGGGAAGAGGTGGAGGGGAGAGAGCTTTAGGAGGTGGGCTCAAATGGCAGCAAGTGGGTGGTTAGGTAGGCAAACGGGGGTTTTGGGTAGGGAGAGATGAAAACTTCCAGATTGGAAACACGGGAAAACAGTGTGGACAGGGAAGGGGGTGGTGCCTGGCTCAGGTGTACACATGATGAGCTTGAGGACGTGGAGGTGGGAATTTCTTTAGGCATTTGGTTAGAGGGTTAGGTCTTGGGGACAGTTTTGTCCAAGAGGTTCCATTAATTTAGTTCTCAGTGAGTTAGTGCTAACTAATGGTGTGGGAGTTGGTGAGGCTACTCAGGGATGAAGGTGAGTCTGGGGCCCTTGGAATGCCAGCAGTGGGGACCTAGGAGCACCTGAGGTGGCAAAGGAGCCTGGAGAACCAGTGCTTGGAGGGGCTGGGATGGTGGAGCTCTGAAGTGGGCTTGTCTGCAGCACTGAATGCCACTGGGAAGAGGGTTCTGGCTGCCCTGGGCATGGCCCGCTCCTCCCTCCAGGCTTTCCACGCTTCCAGCACCTTCCTCCTTTCCTCATCATCTATGTTTCTTTCTATTCTGGTCTTTTGTGTTTTTAATCTCCCTCTTGCTATTTTTTAAAAATATATTTTTATTGATTTTTTTACAGAGAGGAAGAGAGAGGGATAGGAGTTAGAAACATTGATGAGAGAGAAGCATCAATCAGCTGCCTCTTGCACACCCCCTACTGGGGATGTGCTCACAACCAAGGTATATACCCTTGAGCAGAATCGAACCTGGGACCTTTCAGTCCACAGACCGACTCTCTATCCACTGAGCCAAACCCTCTTGCTATTTTCGGCATCCCTCTTGCTATTTTCTTCTCCACATGGGGACCTCGTATCTGAAGGGGAGCTTCGGTGCAGTTGAGTCTGGAAGAGCTGCACCGTATCCTCTGCCCTGGGCTGTGACAGGGAACATAGTGGCTGAGATGGCGAGGGGCAGACGTTGATGGAGGTGCCCTTGATTCTCTGCGTCTACCTGCTCTCTCCCTCCACAGGGAACGCCATCCAGGCCTTTGGCAATGGCACAGATGTGAACCTGTCCCCCAAAAATCCCTCATTCCCAGCCACCCAGGCCCCTAGGGTGGAGAAAACACCTTCTTTGCCAGATGATCTCGGTGACAGCACCAACCTGGGGACCAGCGTCATCACCACCTGCACATCTGTCGAGGTGAGAGGACGTGGTTTTGCCGCTGGGGAACGGAGCCAGGGCGGCTGAGGGCCTGGAGAAGCACCATGCTGACAGAGGCTGGTGTGGGAGATTAGCCAGTGGGGTGCCCAGGTTCCTCCCTTTGGATCAGGGACCCAGGGTAAGGAGGAATCGGTGGGGGCTAGTTGCCCATGTATTCATTCATGAGGCATTCACCTTGCAGGTAGCCAGCTCCTGCTCTGTCATAGGATTGTACCAGGTAGCAGGGGATGCAGGAGAAATGGGATGGTTACCGTGTATCAGCCATCTGCTCCTTCCCAAGCATGAGCCAGTAGCTCTCCCTTCTTCATTGAATTTTCACACAGAGAGGTGGCTCTTATTTTACAGGGCCTGACCCAGAAGACCCAGGCAACCTGCCCAGCTAACACAGCTAGTTAGCAGTGGCATAATATTTCACCTACATCTGAGTCCAAGACCCATGATGATCATTTCTTTGCCTGTCTGTCGTCCGTTCATCCATCTAACATGGATTATGTACTCAATCTGTGTCCTTATGTGTGATGCTAGAGAGATGCTGGTGAATGAGTTCGAAACGAGCCTGGGTTTTGTGGTCTTTATTGCGTTGTCCAAAGTCAAACAGTCTAACAACCATTAGACATTATGGTCTATGGTCAGGGTCACGACAGGACACAGGTGGCACTGTGGAGGTACATCATAGAGCATCCCACTTAACTTCTCTCTCTGCTGACCTAATGTCATATCATACTTGTGCTACAGTAGATTCTTTGCTTATTAGGTTGGTTCTAGTAAACACACACATACACACCCACACACACTCAATGACATGCACTGACATACACTCATGCCTTCTCTCTCTCTCTCTGACACATGTACATTCACTGACACACTCTCCCATACACTCATGCCTTCTCTCTCTCTCTCTCTCTCTCTCTCTCTCTCTCTCTCTCTTTCTCTCTCTCTTGCGCGCTTTCTCTCACTGACACACATATCTGGAACAAAAAGTCTAAAGTAGGACCGAATGCAGAATTCCCGGGGGGGGGGTAGAGGAGGGAGGGAGCAGTGAGGTGATGGGAGGGTGGCATAGGGGATGTTTCAGGCAGAAGTTGGGATTGGAATTGTCCAGAAAGTGGATGGGGTATGAAGTGTAGCCCTGGTGGGGGGCGTTGGGAGCACAGTCTGAGCACAGGTGTGGGAGGCAAGGGAAACAGACATGGCTGTGCGCCAGTGGAGACACCCGTCTGAATGGGCTGGGCTGGTGGGATGAGCAGGGGTGGGCTTTCACGACAGAGTTCCATTCATGAAGAGTGAGTTCTGGAGAGCTGGTGCACAGCAGCGGACTGTCACTGACGGTGTTATATAGAGCGCTTGAAGTTTGCTAAGAGAATCAACCTTAGACTGTATTTGTTCTCACACAAGAAAAACCAGGAAAATGGTAACGGTGTGACGTGATGGACATGCTGATTGGCTTGTGGTGAATATTTCATAGCCTGTATCAGGTCATCAGGTGTACAACTTACATTTATAGGGTGGGGGAAAAGTTGGTTTACAGTTGTGAGTACATAAGACAGTTTACTCTTGTATTATCTATTAATTATTATTTTCCATACAAACAACTGTAAACCTACTTTGTCCCACCCTGTATGCACTTTTTGATGGTCATGTATAATTTCAATCAAGCTGGAGGAAAAACACGGTGCCAGGAGGAGGCTGTGAGCAGGGACTGGGCCTAGTGGAGGCATTCAGTTCCCCAGTGCCCACGGCATCCCAGAGGCCGGTGCTGGGGCCATCCTGGGTGGGAAGCCCACACCCTTCCCTGTCTAGCGGGCTGTCCTGTGTGGTGACAGCTGATCTCCACGTGCCAGGCTCAGTGCCCCGCTCCTCTCCATTAGGCCCCGCTCCTGATTTGGGTCAAGCTGCCGTGCCACCCTTGGACGGTTCCTGATTACTCTGAGCGGACTTGAGCGGTGGCCGGCAGGGGCTCAGGGCCAGCTGCACAGGCAGTCGCCAGCTCAATTTCATGCTAGAGTGGCGGGCAGCTCACCATCGGGGCTGTGCCACCTGTTAGGTGGCCATGTTCGGAGGTGGCCCACGTGTCCCTCCAGGCACCATCCGCCTCCATGTGCCACGCTCCCACCCCTAGTCCATGGGGGTGGGCTCGCCCATGGGGATGCTGTCTCAGCAAGCGGCTCTTGCTGTGGTTGACCATGGGTGTGGGAAGTTCAAAGCCGTGGCTCCTGCCCCAACACAGCCTACTCAGTGCCTGAGGTCTATGACTCCCCTCCTTCCATTTCACCTTAGAGGTTTGCTGGATCATGGCCTGGTTTCCTCTCACCTGAGCCTGATTTTCTGCAGCCTCCCCATCTGGGGGCTTGTCTTACCCTTGGTTTGACCCAAATGAGAGGTGAGGTCTTAGAGCAGGGAACCTGTAGGAGGTAGCCCATCTTGTATCCTCATGCAAGGGCCTTGGTTTCTGAAGCCCAGCGAGGTCGTCCCATGGGTTAGGCCTGAAGACAGAGCAAGCAAGATGCTGGCTGTGCCTAGTCAGTCCCTCTGAGCAAAGTGCTTCTCCTTCCCTCTCCCCCACCCTCTCTGCCTGCATGTCGCCTCTCGAGTGGTCTCCTGATACTGCTCAAGCAAAGCTGCCTTCCATTTATGTTGGGCTCCTGCATTGCCTCATATTGTCCCCTTCTGCATGCCTCTGCTCACCGCTCTCAGGCCAGCATCCCTGGAAGACCGGCCACATCTCGCCCTCGGTGTAGCCTGGATAACTGAGCACACGGTGGTTGGCATGGACTGGCGCTCTGTAGAGGGAGGGGAAGAACGCGAGCCCCCAATTCATTGCTCTATTGGAACTGCCTGCTTTCCAGTGTAGAAACAGTCTGTTTTATTGGTCACAGGCGGCTATTCTTTGTTTCCCGCTCTCTCTGATGCCCTTCGTGTGTCATGAATGCGCAAGGCAACATCTTTCTGTTGAGAATGCAGGAAGACGGTTAGAAGGCCCTTTGGTCATACGATGGGCCTGGACCAGTGTGGATGGGGAAGGCTGGCAGTAGGTTGGCGCCATCCCTGGCCCTGATTTCTTCCCAGGGTCCGGGGTACTTCAGGTTGCTCTGGGCCAATTTGCAGGGCCCATCAGATCAACTGGAGGCTCACCTTTCCAGCAACACAGTCCCCTTTGCTTTTTGTGTCTCCACCAGCCAGTTCCTGCTCTTACCCTTGATATGGCCCATTGCATCTGGGGGAATTAGAAATGAGTTTGGAGGGGTTGCCACAGCCCTTCACCACTCACCTGCATGGGCTCAGCAGCCAGCAGCCACCTGCCTCAGGCTCCTCCTCTCCTGCCTGTTCCCTGGTGGGTCTCTCACTTTGTGCACATGCCCTCGGCCATCAGAATGGGGTTGAGAGGCCTGCCACGTCTCTGTACGTCTATCAGGCACAATTCCTGATTTATAAACATGGCTTGTTTCAAAGCTTTGGGAGACTTGCATGCATTCCCTCTTCCCTCCTCCGCAACTCTCCCTCACATTCATTCATTCATCCACCTCTGCATTCATGCATTTATTCAACATAAACTCTTGCCCCTCTGCATGTCACTGCATTCCAGGCACCGAGTGCTGACAAGCTTCCTGGGCCAGTACCCAGGTCCCCATAGGGGTGGGATGGACATGCTCCAAAGATCAGGGGAAAGAAGTGATTGCTGCACCAAAAGGACTGATCCTGTGTGGTGGGGTCCAGCCTAGTAGGGCCTTGTGGTCAAGGGTACTGCTAAGCCTGGAAGAAAGGGAGGGGCAAGCAGAGAAAGTCAGGGAGGCAGGATAGCAGGGAGAGGTTGAGTAGGGGGTGCTGCTTTTGGGGTGCTGCCTTTGTGGATACATTTTTTTATTGGGTCAACACCGCCCCTTGTTTACACATCGCCTATGTGCACAGGCAGAGCGGAGTGCACAGTGCTTGGTCGGCAGAGCCTGAAATCGCTACTGTCTGGCCTTCCGTGGAGAAACGTTGGCCTGCTCTAGATCTGGAGGGACAGCAGGCGGTGGACGTGGGCGAGAACGTGGAGTGGGGGTGGGCAGGAATGAAGACCAGTGATCAGGTTGAATGGTCAGTGTGGAGAGGCCATGAAGGCTTTTGAACAGGGAGTGTCGTGATGAGAAGATGAGAACTGTGGTTTGTGAGGATAGTTGACAGCTAGGGAGATTGGTTGGCAAAGGAGAGACTGAGGGATCTGCTGGAGATCTTGGCCATAGTCAGGCAAGAAAGGAGGGGTTGAATTGTGGGGAAGAGCTGTGAGTTATTGGGGGGTTGGGTATGCTGGAGGGAGGTGACCAAGAGATTTGGGGGTGGTGCCAGAAACAGAAGCAGGGACACGGGAGAGTTGGCTGGCTCCAGCCAGCACTTTTCCCTGGCCGGAGCTGCCCTGGGTCCAGGCAGTAGAATCCAGACCTTGGGGCAAAGGGCCCTGGAGTACTCGCCCTTTCCCATGGATGCAGGTTGGTGGCTTGGTGGGGCTGGATCTTGACACCTGGGTCACTGGTTCTGTGGTCCTAAGCAGGATCCTCCTGGGTCTGGTTTCCGCCCACTGCATCACCCTCATCACATATCCACCTTTGGCACTGCCTCTGCTCTTGGCCGGACCTCTGTGTGAGAGCTGGGCTTTGTGGATCTGACCAGATGCTCTGGGTGGCATATGGCCTGTGATGTTTAAGGGATTTTGATACTTCTGGCTGAGAGCAGTGATTTAGGCATGATTTCTTGGGCTTCCCAGTTGCTTCTGGTGGCCAGAGAGTCCCTGCAGGTGCCTTGAGAACCAAGCCATTTGAAGTTAGAATAGAAACACTGCATCCCCCAGCTGGCTCCCCGGGATCACTGTTAGGATGATGATCACAAAGGACTGTTCGTCAGCACACCCTCTGGTCCTGCATCCAGGCATTCATGCTGGGGGCACAGAACCCGGAACCATCACCAAACCAGCTTTCTTTCCCATTCCACACCTTGACCACAGAGCTCCCAGAAGCCATACATCGATTTAGGTGGAAAAACTAACCCTTGGCACTGTTGCCATATGTTCTTCTGACATGCACCAGTGGCAGACATAACTAATCAATCACTGTCTCTTCCCCGTGAACCCAAATGAGGACTCTCAGATGCTGATTCTGCTCAGTGGCATGCGTGCATTCATCTATCCATTCATGCATGTACCTGGTAAGACGTTTACTGAGCTGCTGTCATAGGCCAGACACCGTGCAATGTGAGGGGAGGAAGGCATGGTTCCTGCCTCAGGAGGAGCTGAGTGTGGTGGAAAGACCTGTGAGTGGCTTTTGGACATTTGAGAGTGCAGTTAGAACTCTCTATTCAGGAGCCGGCAGGAGCTGGGATCTAGTCACTGAGATGTCAAAAGGGGACAGGGTCTTGTGCTGCATGGGAGCCAGAGCTTTCCCCTGTGCCCTTTGTTCATGACGCCCACAGCGGATGGCTGGGCCTTGTCTGAGTAACATGACAAGCTCTGCTGTGGTGACCCGTCCTCACTGGTGCCTTTTCTCCCGCAGGAGCAGGGGCTGAAGGCCAATAGCTCCAAAGAGCTGAGTACGTGCTTCACGGAGGTGAGTGGGGCAGAGTGCGGTGGTGTAGGGGCCTGGCCACTGGAGGCTGCTTCCAGGTGAGCCTCAGACTCAGGGCCCTCAGATCCATGGCGGGCTGGGCCAGCTGAGCACCAGACGGGGCGGGTGCAGAGCTTGGCTGTCTTGGGAGAGACACTGGCCGCTCTGAGCAGGGCCCTGCCACGCCTTCCTGACTCTTAAGACAGATGTGCCGAGCACCTGCGCGTGCTGGTTCTGTGAACTTGAGGAGACAGAGAGGACACAGCCTCTTCCTCACAGGAGCCCCAGTGCACGAGGGGATCTGACTGTATGATTGTCTATAACTTACCCAGAGGGGCCATGCAAGCTTCCACAGTGGGAGGATAGTGCATTAGAGATACGAAGGGGTGCTCTATGGAGAGGAGGGGTTCGGCCACATTTAGGAATAGGAAGATCAGTGCACCTCTCTCCTCTCCTCAAGAAGGTCCTGGGGACCTGGGAGCTCCTTCCCCTTGAGATCTTTGTCTCACCCCTTCTCCCTGACCTTCCTCCCTGGGCAGTGTCAGCCAGGCTGTCCTGGGCATCATGACACTGCCTTCCCCAGCTGGGGGCTCAGCCCAGCTCTCTGGAAGCCTGGCTCTGCCTCCAAGAGAGTGGGCAAAGGGGAGCCCCCTGGATGCGGGGGGGAGGGTAGTGGTCTGGGAAGTTGGTCCTTTTCTTTGCCTGTTCCCAGCCCTGCTGACTCTTGTGGTTTGTTTGTCTTCCCTGTTCTCTTTGCTTCTGTCCCCTTCTGCTCTGGCCTCAGCTCACCACCAACATCATCCCAGGGAGTAACAAGGTGATCAGACCCAACTCAGGCCTCTGCCGAGCCAGCCCGTCGGCCGCCTTGACCGCTGTCTCCTTCCTGATGTGGAAGTTGGCCTTGTAGGCTCTGGGCACGGCATCTGGAGGTTTCCGAAAGCTACGTGGACGAGAGCACCCGCCTGCTGAAAGGACACACACACACACACACACACACACACACACACACACACATACACTCACTGCAAAACATTTCCCCCCACCTTGTCTCTGAACCTGTCTGTTCCCAGGTTTCTTCTCTGGAGAAGTTTTTCTAAACCAAACAGACAGTAGGTGGGCAGCCTGAGAGCCTCCTGGAGGGCCCCTGGCAAGGGCACCCCAGCGCCAAGGAGGGCACGAGGGTCTAGACATGCCCCACACCTTCTCCTGGCGTTTTCCTCTCTGGACCCTGACGAGACCCCTGCGGCTAAGGGACTGTGGCTGTGCCTGATGCAGTCTGAGGCAGGACAGTGGCCACTGCTCTTCTCAAGTGGCCCACTCTGGGGACTTGCTGGGGCTGGTGAGGGGCGTCAGGTCGGCAGAGCAGTGAGGCTGGCCCCCCGGTCCAACTGGGCACCAGTAGCACCTCCACGGGGCTTTGAGCGTGGAGTTTATTTTGCCTGCCCTCTGGGCTGGGTGGGTCTGCTTCTGGTCTGGGGAGGGATGTGCACGGAGGTCCCCACTGTGGCATGGGCTGGGCAGCTCCAGGGCCTTGGGGGCTCAGCCCCCCTGGGACACCCCTTCAGGAGGAGGGAGCAACGCTTGGCAGCAGCTCGGGGCTGCCGCTTCCTCTTGGTGGCGGGAATTTTGAAATAAAAAAAGAAATGATTCTTTGGGTGGCTCTTTTTGGAGAGGGGGCTGCGGAGAGGGGCTGAGAAGACTGTAGCAGACGCCCACTGCCCCACGCTCTGGTCTCTGCAGCTCTCTCTCTGCTTCCAGCTTATCTTTCCTCATTTCTGAGACATACGCCAACTGTATGTACACAACATGTTTCCCTTCTTGACATATATGTATATACACATCCATATACATATATCGTGTGGTTTCCCCCTTTCCTTTTTTTTTTTTTTTTTAAAGAAACAAAGCTATTGAAATAATACCCCAACAGATGAGCGAGATGTATTATTGTAAAGTTTATTTTTTTTATAACATCGTCTATAAAGGGATTGGAGGAGGTGGCCTCCCTTGTCCCCGCCCGCCGGGCTGCCGGGCCGTGGGAGGGGGCTCCTGATCGCATTCACGCTGGCCAGGCTCCAATAAATGTCCTCGGAAGCAGCTTGGTTTCTGCCTCACTCCCGTGTGCCTTCTCCCCTGCTTGGTTCCTGGCCCAGCCACACCCTGGTTGCTTACTTGGGGCTCTTGGGGGGTGGGGGGACATCTGTCATGTGTGATCGGTGTGGGTGATGAAGCTCCGTTAGGAGATGCTTATACACATGTTGGGTCTGAGGTCCCACTGTACTGAGTCTGTTGCGCCACTCACCTGTCTGTCCCACCTGCCCTTCCCAATGAGTGCCAGCGCCTTTCGGTGGTTGGGCCCTACCCAGGAACAAGTGGCCGTAAGGATGGAGGTAAGGGGACAACTTGTCATACTTAGGGTGTGTTTTTGTTTTATGGCTGCCTGGGGGACCCTGTGGTTGGTCCTGTCCGTCTGCCCACTGCGACTCCTGGTTTATTTAAGATTGTGAGGCAGGGACCTGGCTTCTTGGGGCCCACCAGGGAAGGAAGACACATGGCCCAGCCCTGATTCTGTTTTCTCCACTTACCACCCAGCCTCCACCAGACACGGGCCTGCATGTTCTCCGGGAGAGTCTCGGAGAGACTGGAAGAATGCCTGCTAGCTGAGTGTGTACACGTGTGTGGGCCTGCAGGTGCTCTCATGTGTGTGCCAGTGCACATGGCAGGAGAGAGGAGGCAAGATTGCCAGTGAGGGGTTTTCCTGCTGTCAGCCTAGCCTTCAGGGATGCACACGATCCCATCCTGTCACCTTTGGGAGATGGGAAGCTGCTTTCCATTCTCTCAGCCCTGGGTCCCTGCAAGTGGCTCTTGTTTCTGGCCACTCATGCACCACGTCCACGGTGGTGGTCATTGTGATGTACTGCATCTCTGCCCCTGCATGGGGGGGCGCTGAGCCAGCCAGCCCTCTTCCCTGTCATCACTGGCCTGACTGCTTGTGGAGGCAGTTGTGGGGGCCACTTGAGATCCATGTATTTGCAAACAGCAAAGTCTGGTTGACTTAAAGGCTGGATGGGGGGGAATGGCTCACAGCATCAGTGTTCCTAGGACAGTCGCCAAAGAACATCTGCAGGGCTGGCTGACAGGATCCTAGGGTCATCACGCTGCCTGCTCTGTGATGAAGGACCACCAACCACCATCCATCTGCTCTGGGACCGTGTATCTACGTCCCACCATTGTTGGGTGCAAGGATACGTCACGTCTGGCATCCCTCATGGGAAATAAGCCCTTGGATTGCATGACGGGGAAAAGGAAGTTTTCCAAGAAGAAATGGAGGTGCCATGATGAAGGGAGGAATGGATTCTGGGCAGCTTTCCTCTGCCTTAAAATGTCTCCCAGGCATCGCGTAGCTAAACCTTCACCATTAAATATTCATCCCTTTGGTTGAGATGACTTCTGTTCTCTGTGATCCTCTCCAAATGTGTTAATAAAACTGGGAAGAATAAAATGTTACTATTTAATGTTAATTAGCTTACTAGTGAGCCAAGACCTGGGGCTTGGATTTGGGGGGAAGATGGGGAAGAGAAACAGGAAAGAAATCAGGAGATTGGTTGGGGCTACAGAGATTGATCGAAACCTATTCTGGAGTTCTTTGAGAGTCACCACATGCAGTGTAGGCCAGGTGAGCCTTTACCCCAGAGTCAGCAAAGTCTATGACATGAACTTGTTTTGCCACCAGCTCCCTGGGGACTCCTGATCTGGGCCATGCATTGTCTGCAAGGCTGTGCGTTCTTCCCTGCATTTCCCAGGCTCTAGTGCCTTGGCAGGTTGAAACCACATAGGGATGCTTCTCCCCTTGCTGGGAAGGCTTCCAGCCTGGGATCATTTTGCTCAGCCAACATCATCAACTTCCCAGCTGGCCCTTGCCCCTGCTGCCCTCCTTTCAATGCAGCTGGGCCCCACTAGGACCTGCCTTCGTGCCCAGCTAAGCCCCCACCCACACTTGCCGGCTGTGGCTGGGGAGCCAAGGAGGTAGACCAGGAGCTCAGAGGAATTGGCATCAAGCCAGCATGCCCAGGTCCTGCACTAGCCTGGGGTAGGCTGCACAGTTTGCCTCTTTCCAAGACCAGATATGGGTCATTTTCTCAGTTCCTTGTACCCCCACACTTGCCTTTGTAACCTTGGCAACATGGGTTTCCCAAGACAGCCCAACCCTGCTCTTGGATATAAGCCCCTGACTTGATCCTCAGGCCCTATAGCTGGACCCTGCTATCTCCTCCAGGCTGTGGTGATATCAGGCAGCTCCAGGCCTGCCAGGGTGGCTGCCTCTGGCCTGCTACCTGGCTCCTGCTCAGGGCTCATGGCTCACTGAGATGCCCATCTAGAGACCAGTGCTGGTTAACTCCCAGAGCCTGCTGGTCAACCTGCAATGGCTTAACTTCATGCAATGGGCTGTGTGTGTGTGTGTGTGTGTGTGTGTGTGTGTGTGCGCGCGCGCTTCTGCACCTGCGCCTGCCTGTCCCTAATTCCCAGCGCTGTCCCAGTGACTGTCAGGTGCCTGCATAAGACTGACTTTCCTTTACCCATGTAAGGGCAAAGCAGCTAGAGAAATTCCTTGACAGCCTCTCCTAATCTCTAGTGTGAATTTGAACTGGGTCTTCCCTCCAAGTGGGCCAGGATGCCAAGGGGGTGAATGGTCTGACTCGGTGACAGCACAAGTAAATGTGTCCATAGCCGGTTGCCCATTCTTCTGTTTCCATGGGGGTAGATATTTGTCTTTAACAAACAGACTAAATTTTTTTTAGGGTAAACCAGCCATTTGGAGTAAAAAATGGTAAATAAATTTGGTAACATTCTTGGTGGTCGGTTTAAATGGTGGAGAGACTGGTTTCTAGTCACTTGTTCAACCTTGGTTAGCCCACATACAACGTTCTTTTTTTTTTTTTTTTTTTTTTTTCTAATCCTCACCTGAGGATATTTTCCCATTGATTTTAGAGAGTGGAAGAGAGAGGGAAAGACAGAGAAACATTGATGTGCGAGAAACACATCGATTGGTTGCCTCATACACACGCCCTGACCAGGGCCGCTGGGGCTTGGGCCCTGCAATTGAGGCAGGGAGGAGCCTGCAATTGAGGTACATACCCTTGACCTGAATTGAACCTGGGACTCTTCAGTCTGCAGGTTGATGCTCTACACACTGAGTCAAACTGGCTAGAGCTGCAAAGTTTTATTAGATGATAATTAAGATCCTTCTAAGCTCCAAACATGCTTCAGAGGGGAGAGAAGCGAGACAGATGGACAGACGATGCTGAGGTGGTTTCCTGCCCACTGCCTCCTGTCTGAGTCATGGGACCCTGGCCTGCCTAAATGACCACTTGGAATTTCTAGGTTCTGATGTGTTTCCTAAAAACCCAGCCATGTCACTCCATTGTACACCTCCTACCTCAAAACGAGGGCATTGAAATCGTCACAAAGATGCTCTTTACAAAACCAGCGCTGTGCAGACTCTCAATTAACCAGAACATTACTTGCCACATTCCGCTTCCAGAGTGAGTGATTTTGGTATTTTTTTGTGCTGTACTTTTCAGAGCAGAATAAGGGAGTAAACATTTTATTTAAAAAATATTTTAAAATATATTTTATTGATTTTAGAGAGGAGGGAGAAGGAGAGAAAGATAGAAACATCAATGATGAGAAAGAATCATTGATTGGCTGCCTCCTGCACGCCCCCTACTGGGGATCAAGCCCACAACCCAGGCAGGTACCTTTAGCAGGAATCGAACCTGGGACCCATCAGTCTTCAGGCTGATGTACTATCCATTGAGCCAAACCAGGTAGGGCCAGGAGTAAACATTTTAGAAGGGTTTTCATAGCATTACTGAAAACCCAAACCGATGTACTATTTTAAACTATGTG